GAAAATGATTTAAATGTCAATAAAAAGATTATATTGAACTCATAAACTTTCTGTATTAAATAAAAAATGAGAAAAAAGAACCTGCAGCTATCAAAAAAAAAAAAGAAGCATTTATAAACGTAAATACATCAAGATCATCACTAGCATGCTCTATTGCACAAGAAATGAGGCGTGGCACTGCTCTATGAATTATTCTGTCCTTCCAGCTACTCTAGGAAGCCTGACCAACCTGAAAGCCAGTAACTGCACTAGTTTGACTCTGAACCAAGGATCAAATACACCTACAATATCGAACAAGAACACAAGTTTTTCCTGGGGGTTCATCCACTTTTTTTTTCCTAAGATAATAGAATAATCCAATTTAAGATTTAATACAATAGAATTCTAGAATATTAGTCAATCATCAAAATCAAAGTATTCCAAAGCAATTAGAATAAGATTATTTGTTTTTGCTTTTGCTAAAGTTGGTCGCATCACAACATACATGGAGATAACCCCCTTTGGTAGCTCATCAGATGGTACCTCGCATTGGCCATTTGTCTTGTTGTTATCCAAAATTTTCCTAGCATTTATTAGTTTGACATCACTGGCTGACTTAGGTGCAATTTTTTTGTCCAAAACAAATCAAAATATTTAGATCCAATGTTAGCAGAAGAAAACATGCAGCAATAAATTGATATGGTACACTAAATTATTCAAATTTATTGAATTTTTTTGTATAAATTTATTTTGTTTATTTTTGTTTTTGTGCTATATGAAAATTTTTTGGACAAAAATCTTTTTTTAAGTCAAATTTATATATAGGAATACCAAGAAAAAGATTAGAAATAATCAAAATTAAAAAAAAAAAAGTAATGACAAAAGTGAAGAATAATGGTATATTTTGGTTATTTTGGTTAATTAATCAAATTATTTGAATAATTTCAAATAACCAAAATTTTAATCAAATCAAAAACTTAGTTTGAATTGGGTAAAAAAATCTTATCCAAAATTATTTTCAATAACAAAAAATTTAGTTCGATTTCGATAATTCAAATTGAATGCTTAACCCCACTTGTTTGATCCTATATAATTATGGTGACATATAAATTAATGAATTCTTTATGATTTCTCTTATTGTATTCTCTATAGAAAATAAATTTGATTAACACAATTAAAAAATAAATCCATTGATTAATACATGTTAGTCTATTTCAAGAATTACTTTTCTTTATTTTTTTTTTTTATAATTAGGGTATTTCAAAATTAGTTTTTGTACACCTTCAAATGAATTTTTTGGTAGACAATCTTAAAAGCTTAACTTTCACATTGATAAAAATAAATTGTGTATGTATTATTTTCATAAGTTTAGGGGCAGATCTGGGATGGTGACATGGTGAATGACATAAAACTTGTGGGGCCTATCATTGAAATTCATCAAAAAATAATAATAAATTAATGAATGGGTGGAGGTTTGATGGCAAAAAATATTCAATTACATGATAGTTAGGTATTAGGTGAGGGAGGGCTAAATTTAATAAATAGTCTATTAACTATGTAGTTTATTTCAATTTAATTTAGAAATAATTTTTTCTTTTAAAATAATCTATAAACTATCAATTTTATTTTAAAATGATCTACTTGACAAACATTCCATCAATTAGACTAACAAAATGTTTGTCTAGACAAGTTGGTGTAGACAAGTTGCCTCCTAAACTTTTGAAAAATGTTAAATATAGTACATATATTTTTATTTTTGACAATATTTTATTTTTAAAATTCAAATTTTTTGTCAAATGTAATAATTAACTAAGATGAAATTTCAATTTCCATTAATTAAGATTCTAATTTTAATTTACAAAACTCAATATTAAAATTTAAATTTTATTATTTCTAAAAAAATTTAATTTATTATTAAATATTAATATTTTTAATAAATAAACCCTTTTAAAATTGAATTTAATTAAATGAGTACCAACACGTAATTAAAATTACCTAAAAAAATAAAAATTCATTTCAATTTTATTAGTCCCCAAATTAAAATCATGCATGTACTATATTTTTAATTAGTACATTTGACATAAAATTTAAACTTCAAAAACAAAATATTACAAAAAATATATATGTACTATATTTAATATTTTTCAAAAGTTTAGGGGGTAACTTGTCAAGTAGTCAAATATTCGTTAGTTTAATTAATGGAATGTTTATCAAGTAGACCATTTTGAAATAAAATTAATAGTTTATAAATCATTTTGAAAAAAAAATTATTTTTAAACTAAATTGAAATAAGTCACATAGTTAATAGATTATTTATTGAATTTAATTGGTGAGAGAGGTAACTAGTATGAAA